CATGTATGGCCAGATGTCGCTGACCTACTCGCTACGCCCTCATCAATTCGCATTAGAAAGTTAGCTCGGGATGCACGCATGATAAAGTAGGTACCGTTCATGCACAGTGTCTTTGGCAGGATTCCGCGACAGGGGCATGATCCAATGTTTTCGCCTTAAAAATCCTTACTAGAGCGTCGCTGCCGCGCGAGATATCTTGCTCGGCGCAAATTAATATGACGTGTTTGCGGCCTATTTGTTTTTACTTGTTTGCCTTGATTTTTTTACGTAAACATCCATTTACATGGATCTTAATGCGTGTAAAATTTGACGTGAGAAGTATGTGCTCCGGTGCACCACACCTTGAGTACATCCCCTTCCATGCATTACGTAACGTGCGTTGTTGTCATGTTCAACCACTCTGTATGGCCCACGCCGTAACCCGTGGTCTAAAATACCCACCTGAATAACAGGACACATTTGTTTGAATGGGCAGCATTATGAGCTGTTGTGCATCAATATTTCAGACACGCGATTGTTGCGTTAGCGTTACAGTTTTTCTCGAATTAAGCCGAGTCTCTCCCCCTACAGCAATGTGCGAGGAACCAACGCAAGGCCATTTTGCACGCCAGCACTGTCGGATGCTGCTTCTGCAGTAGCGAACGTGCCTGAAAGACAGAATATCTTTTGACCGCCATTCCCATGTCAGACTAACCTCAACAAGGTGGAAATGGTCCCTGGCCTTCACCTATATGGATTATGGCCGCAGTACTATTGTGCTCTTTTGACCACCAGCCCAAGGTGGTCCGCATGGAACCGAATCCCAATCGCTGATTTTCTGCTCGGATTCAAGTTTCTTTGGTCGGTGGTATGCAGTCTGGTTAGAGAAAACAGCATCCTGAACATGGATCATGCTGACTGAAGTCAGTTAAGTCCGCCAGTACATAGCTGCTGCTGGAGGGATGCATTCCTACACAGATTTCGGTACTTGTGCATGGTTTTAAAACAATGGGAACAGAACAAACGTGTCTATCACGCCCAATTACCATACAGAAGAAAATGCTTCATTGCTCCACGCTGTTACGAAACAGGGGAGCTTGCTGTCAGTCCTTGGATAAGTCCTCAGTAGCCCAGCGAAGCGCGTCCCCAAAGTCCCTCCTGTAATTTATGGGTAGCCGTTTGCCTCCCCCCCCCCCCCCAGCGGTGTCCGATGAGCGCGTGCAACCAGAGCCGAGCGTGACCTGGCGACACGGGACACGCGCACACCCAGCTGCTCCGGGCCCGCGGGTGTGGCCGCCACAGTCCGGCGCCGTGACTCAGCTCCGCTGAATGTGCCACAGGTGTCACGTGGCAAGTTTGTGTCATAATGTCTTTAGCCCACATCAACAACTCCGATAAATGCCGAATAAACTGGCTCAACTTGTTTTTTCCTAACTGTTTTTCAGCCCTGTTTAGTTTTGGTTTATACATGACAGCAATCATTTGCACTTGATGCAATAATGCACCGGTGCGCGGCGGTTGATAGTGTACGAAATTTGCTATTTGCTCGTTATGTCAGCATTTGCAGACGAGTTAAGAAGGAATCACGCATGGCATGCTTGAATCGCAAAGGTTCTTTAGTCCTGTTTCCATTGCCCTTTATTTATATAAACACCGTGTCATGAAATGATATAGGCTAACCCTTTTGGCTGGAAAAGGTGAAACTACGTGTTCTATTGAGTGTTACATCAAATGTATAACAGTATACGCACATATTACGATTCATCTTGAAGAAAAACTATGCTTCAATTTAGCCGCGCCCCGCCCCAAAAAAAACATTAAATCTGATACGGAGTTGTTCAGTTCTCCAGCACAAGGAGTATGCACTGGTTATGCCATCCCAAAAGCAGCCAACGAGTGTGGTAAGTATGCGTGCTTATCACTTGAGGCGTAAACGCTACATCAAGCAAACAAACACAAAAAGAACAGCTGCAAGCTTTATCTTGGGTTTGGTGCCCTTCTCGCGGTGCTCGGCAGACGCGGGACTAGGGCGTAACAAATGCCGAGGGAATCAACAGTCTACTTTATCTGGGGATGAATCGTGCGTTGGTACATCTCCAGCATGCTCGCAGCGGTGCCTTGAGCATGAAATCCAGGGGTGCTTCAACACTCTACGTTACTGGAAGTTCACGCATTGGTAGCAAACATTACCCACAAGCTCGCAGCGAAGTTGACATCACAAAACGTGACCACGGTCACGGTCGTGTTACTCTAGCCGGCGCTGACCATGGCTTGAACGCCCGGACCGGAGCTGCATGACGTCCGGACCGGAGCTGCATGACGTCCGGACCGGAGCTGCATGACGTCCGGACTGGAGCTGCCTGACGCCCGGATCGGAGCTGCATGATGTCCGGACCGGAGCTGCATGACGTCCGGACCGGAGCTGCATGACGTCCGGACCGGAGCTGCATGACGTCCGGACCGGAGCTGCATGATGTCCGGACCGGAGCTGCATGACGTCCGGACCGGAGCTGCATGACGTCCGGACCGGAGCTGCATGACGTCCGGACCGGAGCTGCATGACGTCCGGACCGGAGCTGCATGACGTCCGGACCGGAGCTGCATGACGTCCGGACCGAAGCTGCATGACGTCCGGATACGTGACGTCCGGAGCTGCACGACGTAGACCGGAGTGGTGCTCTTGTCGGGGAGCAGGATGCGAAGAGGGTTCTTTTCTCACGCGCCTAGCATGCCACTGAACAACACGTCGAAGTGTTTGCCTCGACAGGCAAGGTGCGTCGGTGGCAAACGTTCACTGTAGCTGCGCCCTATATCCAACTTCGTGGATTCCCATGGGTACCCATATGAAATAGCTAGCGGCTGGGCTAGTTACAGATTTTCAGGTAATTGTATTATGTGTGTGAGTATGGTTGAGACACGATCTTTTGGGCAATTTTTTCGAGGCGTAGAACACAATATCCGAACTTACGTTTTGCTGGTCAATATGAGCCTTATCTACACTACTTTTGCAATTATCAACGCAAAAAACAGGTTTGGGCGTAAACCTTCCTGAAACCTTTTCAAAGTGTACAAATCAAGTGCTCAGAAAATGCCAACGGGTGAGTAACGGGAGGGCACAACCCATTACAACTTTGAAGCGGGTAGCCACGGATACAGCCTCGTGGGCTGTGCCCATACCTCCAGAAGGATGGACTTGGTAAAGGAAATTATACCTGTGACGTCCCTACTGATCTCCGTATGTTCTGTTATATCGTTTTCCTCCCAATATACACCATTATTGCGCAGAAGTCGTAAACCTAATGATGCGTTATGTGTCAACCAGCTACCAAGCAACTAAGTGCATATGTTTTTTTTCATTCCTCTAATATTATGAATTTATACCGATATGATATGTCACGCCATCCTTGGTAACGATTGCCGTCATCCTTCCATGGGGCCCGGCGACTGTAAGCTCAAATGGCGTTGTGAGCTTCATCCAATGATGTATCCTCAAAGGACTTTTGTTGTCCCGTCCCTTCCCTGTGCACGTGCAAGACAGGAAATCTGTCACAGATATCTTTACGCTCTTGGGCCCCTATGCTACTTCACTCTTGGTTACACTCACTAGACAGCTCCCAATTCCCCCCCCCCCCCCCATCTCCCTCTCCGACGCCACGTCTGTTGGAAAGTGTAGCACGCGTGGGAGCTCTCATGCCCGTCTCGCGCGCATCATGAGGCGACCAGTCCATTTTAAAAGTTTGACCTGCCAATACTGGGAATTCCTTTGCAGTTTCCTGCTCTGCTGCAAGGCTTCCATATCTTTGATCTCATACCACCGGTCTGTCCTTTTCAGCTTATTTTAATGTCCGATGTTTACTGCCAGAGTGAGGCCACTGCTTTAGAAATGGACGCAGCGTGATCGAGCAGACGGCAGCTCGTGTGCGCCAGCTCTTATCGTGACGATGCAGACACCGTCGAGAGGGAACGGGGGAATGTTGCCTTTGCAGGCATCTGCGAAGCACAGCACGGCCACGCCACTCATGCTCGACATCCCTCGACGGTACTTGAAAGCACTGAACCGCCACGAATGAAAGTCGCGACAAAACACCGCCCTCTGGCGGTATTTCCAGCCCCTCGCGCCCAGCACTGAGACCGCACAATGCCGCGGACCTCGCACTGACGAGCGCGCCGTCGCTGCCGCGCGCTGGCGGGCAGCTGGGTCGGGGCTGACTCACGGCTCGGTGAACGCCTGACCGGCCATGGGCCCAGCCCGGGCAATCGGCGGTGCCTGCAGGTCTGCCCACACTTGTGCCCGGGGCGCACATGTGGTCCGCGCCCGGCGGCAACCGGCTCAGTTGTCCGCGAGTCGGCGCACGCGGAGGGCGACCGACGCCATCTTGGCACGCCCGCGGCCGTGACGTTGGCTGTGACGGTGGCCGTGACGGCGATGGGCGTCACTCGAGGATCAGCTGTTTGGTGACCGGTCGGCGCGCGGGATAGCTTGTGACGCAGGCCGGTGGAGAGCGGCGGCGCGAGGATTGTTTGGACCAGCTCCAGTCATTTCTTCGCCGTTGTCAGCTGTGTGGCTTCTTGCCGCTTCCATACGTCGGTTTCGTGTTTTCAGACACCGCCTCTCTCGAGCCTTTTCAGCCCGATCCGCGATAGGCACTGCTCTCCGCGGTCCGACCAAACATGAGCCTTTTCCATCAGCGACCTTCCGACGCAGTGCGTCGCTAGCGCCGGCAGCGCGGCGCCGTCGCGCGCCGGCCGCGGCCAGCGGCGCCCCCAGTCACGCCGTCGTCCGGCTGGCGGTCCACAGTCACGCCGCCGTCCGGCTGGCGGTCCACAGTCACGCCGCCGTCCGGCTGGCGGTCCACTCACACCCAGTGGCCCCCAGCAGACGACACTTGTCGCGGCCGAGCCGGGGCCAGCTGCGTCGCGCCCGTCAATGAGGGGCCGGCGCCGTGGCCGCCGCCCGCGCTCGTGCCGACGGCCGTCGCCCGCCCATGCGTCGGCTGCTGACGACCGAGGTGCGCCGCGCCATGATCGCGCACGAGTTCCCGGAGCGGGTGGTGCTCCGTGCCGACGACGAGACGCCCAGCAGCGGCGACTCGCCGGCGACCCCCGGTAACTGGGGCCGCCCGCCGCCCGGCGCGATCAATGACGCGCGGGGAACTTGAGCAAACTCCGAGTGTAGGGGATGGTAAAAGGCGCCGGGAACGAAGCGCTTCACTGAAAGGAAACACTTCAAATGTGAAGTGTTTGGGCGTGGCTGAGGACCGTGGCTCGACTGGTTAGACTGCGCGGTCGTAAACAGGCTTCGTCTGCTGTAAGGCCTTTGGATGGTTAGGCGGCCACCCTGTGGAGTCAGACACCTTTCTAGGTGTGTCGACTGCTGACTCTGATCTCAGCAGCGGCCACCCTGTGGAGTCAGACACCTTTCTAGGTGTGTCGACTGCTGACTCTGATCTCAGCAGCGGCCACACTGTGGAGTCGGACACCTTTCTAGGCGTGTCGACTGCTGACTCTGATCTCAGCAGCGGCCACCCTGTGGGGTCAGACACCTTTCTAGGTGTGTCGACTGCTGACTCTGATCTCAGCAGCGGCCACCCTGTGGAGTCGGACACCTTTCTAGGTGTGTCGACTGCTGACTCTGATCTCAGCAGCGTCACCGTTAATGCTTCTGAGGCCAGAGCCGCTCTCAGCGCAACGGCGGTCATCTCAAGCTCGCATCAATGCTTCCAACGTGCCTTCTGTGCAAGTGACTGACTTAAGTGAGCCCGTCCATAATGCTCTAATCTCAGCTGAGCTTTGTACCTTCTCCTTCCCTCTCCTCTTCGTCATTAGGACGAACACAGATCCAGTGCTCCCTCTCAGACGGCCACAGCTAATGGCAACGCTAACGGCCACCGCAGTCATGTGCTCGGAGACAAATGAGTGGCGGCGTGCTGGTGATGTGACCGGCCTCGCATGTTCCGCAGACGAGTCGCAGCGAGGCGAGGACAGCTCGTCGGAGCCGGACGAGGCGCTCGTCCGGCGGCTGCGGGCCGCCGAGCCGTCGGCACCGGCGCCCGCCTGGCTGGCCGGCGGCGCGCCCAGCACGGGAGGCATCGGCTACGAGCGGCCCAGCCTGTACCGCCAGTTTAGCCTGCAGCCGCTGGCGCCCCAGCCACGGCCACAGGTCGTTCACAGAGGTCAGTGCAACGGCCGTATATATATATATATATATATATATATATATATATATATATATATATATACGTATATATATGTATATATATATATACATATGTATGTATGTATATACATATATATACACACATATATATATATATATATATATATATATATATCTATCTATCTATCTATATGAAACGCATATGTATATTCATGTTTATTCTATTTTTAGCAGCACTTCGGCTGCTGAGACAAACGACCAGATGCGCGATGATTGTGACATGACGAGGTCTGGAACCTTCCCGACTCTCTCAGCTGAAACAATATTTTGGTACGTTTTATGAGTAAGCATATCATAAGTTACATTATGGTGCGTCGTTGTGTCAGCCCTAGCCAAGACCTACGTAGTAGAAGCACGCAAGGCTCGCCCATCATTTTGGAGTCATCTGTCCGCAGCAGCGGTTCCCAGGAACGTGCCTTCTGGAAGTCACGTATCTCGGGAATATAATGATAAATGAGGCGCATTCTCTTGAGCCTCCGCCGCACAATAAAGGAGCTGGATATTCGCAGGCGGGTTAGGCGGTCTGTGGCCACCGATGTTGGGCGGAAGTATGCTGGGACGACCGCTGACCCCGTGCCTGTCCGCTGACCCCGTGCCTTTCCGCTGACCTCTCCTGTCTGTCCGCTGACCTTGTGTCCGTGCGCTAACATTCTGTGTCTGTCTGCTAACATCCTGTGTCTGTTCACTGACATTCTGTGTCTGTCCGCTGGCATAACGTGTCTGTCCGCTGATATAATGTGTCTGTCCGTTGACGTAATGAGTCTGTCCGCTGCTACTCTGTCTGTTCGCTGACATTCCATGTCTCCCCGCAGCGTGCCGTCCGCCGGCCACCAACGGCGAACTGAGCGCGGCGGAGCGCGGCAAGATGGGTGAGGGCACCTCATCCTCGTGCTCGTCTACCACGTCCGGCGAGGACGAGCTGGGCTCGTCACTGCGGCGCCGCGACTGCCGCCGCTACCGTCAGCTGGCGGCGCGCGCGCGCAGTCTGGACGACTCGCCGCCAGCCCGCGAGCCCGGCGTCTCCGAGGAGCCCGCCCTGCCGGACGTAAGTGTTCTGCCGCTGTGTGACGGGCCGGACCGCGCTTCCGCCCTGTGCAGGGAAGCGTGGACGTCGCTTCCGTTGGGCTTCTCAAGCGTCCGGCCGGCGGATAGAGTGGGTATTGGGTCGGAAGGTGAGGCTGCGGTGGAGTAGTTTTAGTCGACGACAGGCTGTGTTTTTGGTCAGGGCTCGGGAATCTCGATGACTGTAGACCTTTCGTCGAGAAAGCTTCTTGGTGCATTGGAAGTATGGGGCAAAGATGCAGGGTAACAAGGCTGAGCGCTTGTTATTAACATCAGAGGATATCGTGATTTTGTTGCATTGCATCATGACATACACAGGCGGATGGGTTTCGTGCAACGCTTAGTATCGGTTTGAATGTCATGCTACATGGTTTCTATACATGCCTTGTCTTATTGTTTCACGTTCTTAAGAACTCTGACTGTCCTAGTGTACATAGTAAGCACCAGACATCGAAGTTTGCAGGTCCTCGGTGCGCCGTTTTAAACTGATTTAAATTGTCTCGATTCGTGGCTTCTAAAAAACTAGGCACGGTTAAAACCAGAGTACGCAGTGTTCCCGGACGCCGCCACTGTGAGCGCTTTTACATAATTTTCGCATTTTTTTATTTTAATTTTTGCATGCGCACTTAAAGAGCAACTTTTGCTTGCATCTTGACTGCATCATTGATTGCAAAAAGCGCTGCCGAAGCAGCACAAGCTGGAAGACCGTGACACGGCTGCCCGTGGCAAACTGACCTTATTTTAAAAGACCAGGTCCTACCTACCTGGTATTTTAAATTAGGTCAATGTGGGTCGATCCCAAAGCTTTGCTTGCTCGCCTTTTGTATTATCGGGCAGCTGGGTCAGGTCACAGCATCATGGTCCGAGGGCGTGATACCACGCCTGGTGGAACAACATTTACATATGCTGAAACTGGCATTTGATTGCGGCGTGACACAGCGCTGAGATGAGCAGCTGAAGCAATGATAAAGCCAGATTCAGCGAGCATTACAGCCAACAAAACAAGGAAGAATGCAGTATGGTCTACCGCCCGCCATAACTCGCAAAAATGCCGATCAAATTTGATATTACTCGGCGCAGGTATTCTCAGCGTTGCGTTTTCATCTCTCACGTGTTCTGTACATGAGAGACGTGGAATCATCTCTCACGTGCACAGCACGTGAGAAACGTTTTCACGTCTATTGATGTTGGGACATTGCCAGTGACTGACAAGGCATGATATACACACGGGTAGATTTGACTCCTGATCCACAGAGGGCGACAAATACTCCGTATTCCAACCACAGTGCGCTGATTTTGAGAGCAGGCCAGCAGACTAGGAAAGTGGTTGACAGGTTAGCTGTGTTGTTGAGAAGAGAGAGAGAGAAGAGAGAGAGAGAGAGATAGAGAGAGGAAGAGAGAGAGAGAGAGAGAGAGAGAGAGAGAGAGAGAGAGAGGAAGAGATGAGAAGAGAGATGAGAGAGAGAGAGAGAGATAGAGAGAGAGAGAAGAGAGAGAGAGAGAGAGAGAGAGAGAGAGGAAGAGAGAGAGAGAGAGAGAGAGAGAGAGAGAGAGAGAGAGAGAGAGAGAGAAGAGAGAGAGAAGAGAGAGAGAGAGAGAAAGAGAGAGAGGAGATAGAGAGAGAGATAGAGAGAGGAGAGAGAGGAGAGGAGAGAGAAGGAGAGAGAAGGAGAAGAGAGAGAGAGAGAGAGAGAGAGAGAGAGAGAGGAGAGAAGAGAGAGAGAGAGAGAGAGAAGAGATAGAGAGAGAGAGATAAGAGAGAGAGAGAGAGAGAGAGAGAGGATAGCGAGAGAGAGAGAGAGAGAGAGAGAGAGAGAGAGAGAGAGGAGAAGAGAGAGATAGAGAGAGAGAGAGATAGAGAGAGAGAGAGAGAGAGAGAGAGAGAGAGAGAGAGAGGAGAGAAGAGAGGAGAGAGAAGAGAGAGAGAGAGATAGAGGAGAGAGAGAGAGATAGAGAGAGAGAGAGAACGTGAAAACGTGAGAAACTTTTTCACGTCT